CCGGGCTGGGGGCGGGGGCGGGGGCGGGGGGGCGGAACAGCGCAATGCAGGTACAGCTTGCTTCCGGCAGAAGTGGGCAAGCAGCGGAAGGGTATAGCCCCTGCTCCCAGCACTGATGGGGGCATGGTAGTGCTGGGAATGGCAGAGCTCCACCCATGCAGTGGGGATCACCCCCCCCACCTGACACCTGCATGGCACCTGCCCTGTGTTGCAGGTGCAGAGTGGCTCAGCAAGGTGCCACATGCTGTCTGGGAGCTGGGGTAGCTCCATGCGTCAGCTGGAGCCCAGCACTGCTCAGCCCTAGCTCCCGGACATTGCGCAGCGCCCAGTTGCCAAGCGGCGGGGTGATCCCCACTGCCCCCCACTACCCTGCGCTGCACAGGGGAGGCTCTGCCATGAGTGCCCAGAGGCCCCAATCACTGCTGCTTTGCCTACTTTTATTTTTATTTATTTTATTTTTTTTTAAGTGCCAGGACTAGGTTGGGGCCAGGAGGGATATGGGGCCAGGCAGGGCAGCCACAAGGGATTCTCTCACAGCTCCCCCTGTCAGGGGAGAGGCAGGCACAGGCAGAGGATCTGCAGGAGAACCTGCAGCTGCCTGGTTGTGCCTGCCTCTCCCCGGCCAATCTGAATCTCCAAATCGGCGCTGAATCTTCCAAAGCTGATTCAGCTGAATTGATTCAGGGCAGTGATCTGAATCTCTGAATTGAATCACTGACCTCTGAATTGGCCAAATCTGAATCCAAATTGAATACTTCCCTATTCGCACAGACCTGCCCTTTACCTGCTGGAGGTCCTGGGTACACAGGGATAAAGTACTCCTGGCATTATAGATTACTATTCCAAATACAGCTCGTCATTTCTGTGGGTCTGTATGTAGGGGGCACATAGTTCTACCTCGTCTGGCATGTCCTTAAAGGAATAAGAGTTAGGACCCTACCACACCTTCAAATTAAAGCTGGATAGAAACCAGCTATAGAACTGAAGCAATAACTGCATAGATGGTTGGCTCTTTTTATAGCTGGAGAGTCATTTTTGTCATGTGGCTGGTCTAAAATTTATTACAGGATTAACCATTTAATTGTGTGATTATTACTTTGCAGGTGTGGCCCATCTAAATTTATTGCACGATTAACCAGTTAATTGTGTAATGTATGTAACATGCAGCAAGGGCCTTAGCTACCTATATACTCAGAGAAACATGGGATCTGCTGTTCTCTCTGGTCCTCAAATCAAGCCACACAAATTGGAGAAGGTTCCTTTGGGGCCCTTTCTCCACCCACTCAGAACATGTCTGGCAGCCAGGAGAGTTTAACAATTATGCTTCCATACAACTGAGCCAGTCCTTATGATGCTCACTAATATGGCAAATTAACATTTTTTGGTATTGAATGAGTGTTAAATCAAGCACATACTTAAGTACCTGGTTGGATCAGAGGCCTTAGGGAGGTTTTAGACCTGTGTATTTCCACTGTTTTCAGAGCAGGTACTCTTAATTTGTGTTAGGTCAGTGACAAGAGGAAAATCAAGACAACCAAAACTGAATTTACACCCAGTTCAGAGAACTATCCCTCTTTTACAGCAGCATTTAAGCACATGTTAACATTTTAAGTATGTTCACTGAAGTTGATGGGACTTGAGCACAGGTATAATTTTAAGAGTTTGATTTAAGCTGCCCTGAAGGGGTCTAAACTAGAGCCCATACATGCTGCATTGGAGGTACTAAACTAGGCCCTAAGGGAAGGTATATTTCATCTCTCAGGAAAATAAAAGAAAAAAGGTTTACTTTTTTTGGGCGTGAATACAATTTTTTCCAGGTCCTCTCTGTTTTCTCTGATGGTAGAAATGACTTGTATGTCCAGGCAGGCACACTGCGTACAGATGTATTCCATTATGCCCACGAGGTCAGTGGCACTGCCAACTCCAATGGAGGCAGTTAAACCCACAATCTGAGTACACATTTAAATATAGAAGAGTTACTTTCCTGTCCCACACATGCACACCAAAAAACAGCAGCCACTAAAACTGATGGCCCCATCTGACTCAGATTGTTACTAACACGTAGGAAGTGGAGGACAAAAGTCAAGGATTAATTTTCTACATAATGTAGCAGTTACTTTGTCATGTTTTCATTCTTCTTCATCCCAACATTTTTCTCATCTTTCCTACCATTTCTCTTCTATGTTATATGCAATTTCCATTTGGGATCATTCATACAGTTATTACTTAACACATCTACACTTTCTTTGTACTATACTCAGAACCACCATCAAGGAGCAGCCCTGCCCACTCAACTTCTGCTCAGCACATGCCAAATCCCAAAAATGAGCTACAGCTATCAGGCTTAGAGCAGCCCTAAGCATACCCAAGACAGAGAGAGTGACAGAGAAGTATGGGGTCCTTACTTAGGGACACTTCAATGCACAGAGCAGGAGAAATGCTCCTCCATAGTTTCTTTAAGTTGCTTTCTAATGGAACTGGAGAAGTTAGAAAAGGGGTGGCACTTTGTTCTATCAGTGTGGAAGACAGTAGGCGAGAGGTTAAAAGGTTCATAGAAAAGTAGAGATAGAGGAGGCCCTCATGATGTCCAGCCCCTTGCTCAAGGCAGAAGCCACCCCCTGTGCTCAGGAGATAACATTTTGTAGTATGTGCTTTTTCTCCTGTGCAACCTTCAAAGAAATCCAGCTTGAAGTTAAAACAATTAGTTCTCATGTTGCTGAATCAGCACTCCTGGGTAAACAAGAAAAGCACTACTTAAGAAAGTTATGTGCCTGAAAAATCAGTAAGCTTAGTATTTCAAGTTGAAGTGTGAGAGTAAATGGGACTGTAGGGGAGAAAAGTGGAGCAAGATGAAAAAGCACAGCTACAAAGCTGAACCCTAGCCTGATGAGTCCAGGAAACTTTTTTCCAACACACCCATGCTATGCCTTACCTGAGGCCGTGGACTGGCAGATGAGCCAAACTTAAGGTCCAGGTAGCTGGACATTAACACATTATAAGGGTGATTCCCAGTGGTATTGTGACACTCATCAAATATGAGGAGGGTAAAAATAGCCACGGAAGAAATGATTCCATACTGAAGCCAATTCACAAGGATCTGAGGCGTCAAGACAATGATATCATTCTGTTCAATAAGCATTTCTTCAGGGATATCCCCAACCGTTTCCCCACAAATTCCTCCAACTTTATACCTAAAAGGGAAAAAAATGGTGTGTTCCATGACATTAACAGTGGACAGGGGCAAATCCAGGGGAGGTCCAGGGCTGCAAATGCACCCCTCTTCAGCTACGCAGTGCATGTGCAACTAGTTCTCTGAACTCCCTGGCTTGTCATCATGGCTGCTGGGAGCCACTGCATTGCAGCAGCTCTGAAACCCAGCAGCAAAATGCTGCCACTACTTGCCATGTATTTTCACTGCTGCCATAATTGGTGGCAGGCAAGAGGGGGAGGGGACAAGCAATGGTGACATTCACCCCCTAGGTTCTACTGGCAGCCATGCTAACAAGCCAGTCAGTTCAGAAAGCTTGCTGTTCAGTAACATTTTATAAGCTGGAACCACTAGTTTCCAAGGGTTCAGCAGCAGGTGCATAAAGACATCTAGGATCCAATACAAAACCTACTGTTGTTTGCTGCAGTATCTTAATTCCAAAGGGTTTTGAAGCAGACTCTTGAGCAGGTAATTTGCTTTCAAAAGTGTAAAGCATCTGCATCTGCCACTAAATGAAAAGCCTTTGGTTTAGAACAATGATTTTTTAATTGGTTGTTTCCATGTAACCACTATCCTTCACTTAAAAAGTTCACTGTGTTCAGAAACCCAACCCAACCCAGGGTCTGAATTTCAAGAGAGAGAACGTTTTACCTCTGCTTAGCATTGCAAAGCTCACAAGCACGTGGCACAACAATTAGTTCTTTTAAACCTCTCTCAGTGAAGGTTATAAAGTCTGTACAAGAGTTCTGCCTTGCTGTACCTAAGCAGATGTTTTTCAGACACAATTTTCCCTTACCCTTAAAGGGATTTTGAGAAGCACTTCATCATCTCCTAATCACTGTTTGATTAAGTGGACTTCCCACCTCTGATTCTGGATCACTGCTTGTTCAATTTTTTTTTAATGTCTGTTGAAAAGGTGTCTATTAGAGACCAAACCTATAGGGTCTGCCTACAGGTTTAGGTGAACCTCTAATTGTTACTGTTTGGAACTAGAGAGCAAACAAAGCTGCAGATGACATGGATGGAATTATACCTACCTTTTCGTTTCAAAATGCTGCTTGAACACATTTCTCTGTTGCTCATATACTGGAATTTTAGTAACTAGAAAAGCAATCTTCCCCTTCTGTCCTGGAGGCATGTTTTCGAGATGATTTTCAGCAATCAGAAGTGCAACAAAGGTTTTTCCAGATCCTTTTAAACAATAAAGAGGAAAACAAATCAAAATTACCAAGAAGGTAGATTTACAGACTTATGGTGAGCTTTTAAAATTTGGTAATGGTTTCAGCTGATGTTTAGAGTATCCCATAAAACCTGTAAGCTGAAAACATTGTACTAACAATTTAAGACTGTCTGGGAAGACCCCTGTACTTGCACCAAGCTAGCTTAGCACCAATTGTACAATAGTATCAAGTATCTAGATCAAGCAGATTATCTACCATATTACACACATACTATATCAGTGGTCACCAACAAAGTCTATCTTGGCGCAGCAGGGGGAAGGGGTGGAGGGCAGGGTAGATCCTGGGGTGCCAAAAAGTGATCTGCACTATAAAAAGGTTGGAGACCACTGTACTATATATATATATATATATATATATATATAGTTATTTTACAGACACATGTACATACTGACAGTCCTTAGGTACATAGGATTATGGTTCTTGTGCCTCTCATTCAGAGAGTATTAGCTTTATTAGTTTAAAGAAATAAAAATTCCCTTTTAATTATGATCTCTTTAATCTAACAAACTTTGAAACACTGATTGTCTCATTTCACTTCAGTTCCTTATGATTTTGGGCTTCTTGCGTCCTACCAGCATCTTTAAAGATGTCAATACTCCTTTAGAATGGAATTTTTTTTTTAATTCCTTCTATGGTTGGTGGTGTCAAAATAAACTATTGAAAAAATCCCAGAAACATGAAATGGCAGACAGAAGAGAAACAGCGTGAGGTCTAGGGAGATCCCACATTGAATTCTAACTCTTTAAGGCCCATCAAAGTTACTCTTCAATTTTTCCAAGTATCCCTTTAAGTCAGGTGCAGACTTTCTAGTACCATTTTTTGCATTGCTCTGTACACTGTTTATTTTATGGACACACAAAAACCTTTGCTATATTAGGAAGATAGCACACAAAGATCATATAATGTACTATTAGGCTACACATGAGCAACAGACAGGCCATCCCTAGGGTATGGAGAACTGGGGTGACTGCCCCATGCCCTGTGCTTTGAGGGGGCCCCACAGAGCCAGACAGAGCGGCTGCAGCCCCTCCCGTGGTGCCCGCCTGGAGCTGGCGGCTCAGCCCCACACCACAGAAGAAACACAGAGCCCACCCCCCCCCTTGCAAGGGTACCATGGCCCCATTCAGTGTTAAGGGGGCCCCACACAGACTGATTTGCCCCAGGCCCCATATCCCCGTAGGGTCGGCTCTGGCAATGGACATTACAAATTCTTCCCCCTATATGGAGGTCTCCATGCTATCCCAGAGTTGACAGGCAGTATGTCTACACATGCTTGCCAGCTACATCACTGTAGTGGCATGCTCCCTGGTTATAGTGTGCTGCTATGGTGACATAGTGACAAAATCTAACTATGTGCCATGTACACAGTGCCATGACCTCCTGTACTGCTCCATGCTTTAGTACTTCCAAAAAGGTGCAGTGCATACTTGGGTAGCCTGTGCTGCTGAAAAGCAGACCCAGGCCTCCCAGAGCTGTCCTGTGGTTACTGGCCAGACTCCAGCCAGCACGATTGCCATGGCTGCACCCTGGGAGGCCCCCAGGACCCCAGGTAAGGCTGCTGGGGCCAGCATAGTGCTGGCCCCAGCCTCCCCTACTGCTCCTGGGTAACTTGCCATGTGCCAAAGCTCGAGTGGCACTGGCATTCCCCAGGGATGCACACTGGAAATAAACATAGGCTTACCAGTTGGAGCACATATTAATGTGTTTTTCCCATCGAAAGCAGGCCTAGCAAGCTCCAGCTGATAACTTCGAGCCTTCTTTGGTACATAAACAGGATCTTCAGACACTTCTAGAACATAAATTAGCAAAATTAGGTTAGAGTACTCATATATCCCCCCTACAGATATGACCTAAAGTTGTATACATCTGTAATCAAAACAGCATTGGGAAAACTATTTTTAAAACAGGCCATACACCAGACTGGAACATTGAGTCCTTTAAATCTTATATACTGGCTTTTTTCTAAGGGAAGATAAGAGGCTATTTTGAAATCTTTCCTGGTAGAATCAATATGGACCTCACCTTGACCCTATCTTTTCAAGCCATAAAGTTTGCAATGAAAGCCCCATTATTTAGGAACTGCTTAGCTCTGTTAGCAACCAACAGAGACCTGAAACTTGTATTTCCTTCTGTTATCAGGTCATGTGATGGGTGACTCAAATCACAGCAGAAACACACATGTGCAAAAAGAACCAGATTGTCACTATTTTGACTTTCTTCTGACAGTTTTCCTTCGAAATGCCAATAATGGGTGAAGGGAAAAGTCGGGTAGCATGCGATATACATCATGCCCAAAGTATGCAGTACTTTAGGATACAAAAAAAATCAAGAGAGTGATTAGTGACTTGGATGACAGGGTGAAAAGCAGCCTGTTTAAATTTGCTAATAATACCAAGATTTGGGGTTTGGTGGGCATGTTAGTAGGAAAGGACAGATTACAGCAGGACCTGGACAGGTTACAGGGGTGGGCTAACAAAAATAGGATGGGTTTCAATATTGACAAGTGCAGGGTGCTGCACTTGGGCAGTAAGAACCAGCAGCACACTTATAAGATGGGAAACTCCCTTCTCAAAAGCACAGTGGCAGAAAGAGATCTTGGAGTCATTACTGACTCCAAGATGAACATAGGCCGATAATGCGAGGTCACAGTCAGTAAGGCTAACCACTCCTTGTCGTGCATTCACAGATGCATCTCAAGCAGGCCAAGGAGGTGATCCTCCCCCTCTATGCAACACTGGTCAGGCTGCAGCTGGAGTACTGCATCCAGTTCTGGGTGCCACACTTCAGGAGTGATGCAGACAGCATTGAGAGGGTCCAGAGGAGGGCCATCCGCATGATCTGGGGACAGCAGGGCAGACCCTACAATGAGAGACTGCAGGACCTGAACCTGTTCAGCCTTCACAAGAGAAGGCTGAGAGGGGACCTGGTGGCCATCTATAAACTCACTAGAGGGGGACCAGCGGGGTTTGGGAGAGACCTTGCTCCCCCTAGCACCCCCCGGGGTAACAAGGAATAATGACCATAAGTTGTTAGAGAGTAAGTTTAGACTAGACATCCGAAGGCACTACTTCAGTCAGGGCAGCTAGGATCTGGAACCAACTTCCAAGGGAAGTGGTGATGGCTCCTACCCTGGGGGACTTAAAGAGGAGGCTTGATGTCTACCTGGCTGGGGTCATTTAAGCTTGGTTTTCTCTCCTGCCCAGGGCAGGGGGTCGGACTTGATGATCTACAAGGTCCCTTCTGACCCTACTTCTATGAATCTATGACGAGAGAAGACTTTAAGTTCTTTTCAGCTTTTTTGAGCCATTTAAAGATCACGACCCACACACTCCAGTGTGTGCATACAGACAAACATGCACTTTAAGAGGTTACTACAATGTAAAATTCTAATGTCATAACACATTTAAGTTGCCAGATAACTTACCCGGAGGAGAACACTGATTCCCACTGAAATTGTCAAATTCTCCTGCTTCAGAATATGTTACGGTTATGTCAAAGGCACTTCTCTCCTCATCCTGGTCATCCTTCATTTCAACATCCTTCTCTTTATCATTACCTGAACAATGCCAAGAGAAATATCTTATCTTTCTTTCCTACTTTCAAGTGTTATCTTTTTCACAGGGCAGGATGGAAGTTGTGACCTACAGGATGGCTTCTTATCAGCTAAACAGTTGGCTGCTGGAATAGAGGAGGTAAAAACAAGGATGCCTTGTCCAGATTGGCTTCACAATCTATGAGAAACTTTTTGAGGCCCTGCATCTTCAATAACTCAAAGCTTGATTCAGCAAACCTTTCCCTTTTTTAAAAGGCAAAGGAAAAAAAATACGAAGTCCAGCTTCTTCCCTGCTCTACCCCACCCCAGCCTCAGGACTGGTAAAGGAGGTAACTTGTGAACCAACCCTCTCTCTGTAGCAGCCTGCAGATTGCAGACCTGTTACAGACATTAACCAAAAGAAAGAAAAGCAATGTCTTGGGGGGCCCTAAATAGCTTTACCAGTGCAAGGCTTTTGTCTTCTTTTGCATTCCTTGAAATAGGAATACTACCCCTATACCTTGTGTAGATATCTAAAATCTTATTTCTGACCAACTTGAAAACATCTGCTAATATTTTACTTCGTCCTCCTAACATGTGGGGTCCACAGCATTCTTATAAAACTATCACTGAATTTTGACAATGCACACAAGACCAAACCATGCAGACCTTTGATTAATTTTTAGTTGAGAACACATTACTAAAGTGTCATTGGTAGGCTGGGGAGGTAGAAAATAGCTCAATACAGCATGTAGTCCAGCTCCAAAAAGTACTTGCTGTTTGGTAGCACTTTGACCACCAAATCTTCTTGACTATTAGAGTTGTAATGCCCATAACACAGATGATTTCCTCAATGATTCAAAAGCACTCCCCAGTGAACAAACTTTGGCTTCATTAAGGCTAATTGTTAGTGGAAGCCCAAAGTCACAAAAATATGCTTTTAAAATATAGCCGATAGGGGATAAAATAAACAATCAAAAACAGAAAATTATGACTTGGTTACAATAATATAAAATAATCACAAAATAAGAGCCAACCACAAAAATACAGCCATTGTTTAAAAGTGTCTAGTACTAAACAAAAAATATATCTTTTTCCATTTGGTTATTAAAATATCGGGCACACACAACATGGTCCACAGTGAAGCAGATACAGATTAAAAAGTTGTGTCCTTCATAGCTAAAAACAAGCAACATCTGAGAACACAATGAAGTTAGCAAATTATTTTTTCCCCAATTGGTTTTCATTTCAATAGAGCACTGTGTGTACAGTCAGTTTCTCTTTAGCTAAAAATTCTGTACAAAAATAATGTGCAGAAACATTCCTATGGATTTTTAATTTCAAGTTGTTTAAAAGAGGCTGTATCAGAAAACAAGGTGGGGTTGGTTTGTTTGGTTTTTTTGATCCAATTAAAAAAAACATTCAAGCTGATAACATCCCTTCAAGTTAATTTTACCTTCTGGATCAAGATGTGTGTGTGATACCAAAATAGAAGCTTAAGTAAAAAAGCATAAAGAAAATAATTTGCAAATTACCTTCTTTCATATCCCACAGTTTACATGCATGGTCATAGCCTAATCGATGCAGCGCCAGCTGAAATTCTTTAGGCCAATTTTCTTTGTCTGACCTACAAAGACACTCAACAAGTTTTGCTGCACCGGCTGATTGGCCTCTGTTTTCTACAAGCTGCATAAACAACAAACGAGATTTGTTACTGCTTCCAGAGACAAGTTTGACATTCAGAAGAAAATCTTGTTTAGTTTCTACAGAAGAAACCTTTTAAAATTTCTACTGTTCATTTTCAGGACAGAACAGCATACTAAAAATTGCAAACACTAAACATGCATAATTTTTTGCACACACACAAGCCCACTGAACTCAATTGGGCTATTTGTGTACATAAAATGATGTCTCTGACATGTCTCTTTGCCCTGTCTGTAAAGTGTGAATAGTAATGTTATTTTACCTTAATAAAGTTGAGCTTAGTTACAAATGACTTTTCAACACACCCCACATACACAAAATGCTACTGTAAATAATGGTACAAGGGTTTCTAACTAGCAAAGACAAATCTCTTTCAAATGATACAAAGTGAATAGATAATTACCTTATTATTTAAAAAAAAACCCAGAATATATCTTTAAAACAGTCCCTGTCAGACAAAAAGCCCTGTAAGAATAGGGCTGGAGATTGCTTCCTTGGCTACATTGTAATATTTCAAACATATCTCTGGGAGTGTCTACATGAGGCACTAACTGGGAGGTAGACTAATTCTACTGCGCATTAGCACATCACGGAAAAAGCCGTGCCAATGCACTAATGTGCATTAGCGTCACTAAAAGACAGTGCGCTAGTGCTACTGGGAGGTAGCACTGGTTAATGCACATTGATCTAGTACCTGTTATTAGAAGCACTAAACTTAATGTATAGTAACAGCAATGCATTAATGCATGTGTAGATGTGTCCCATGATGCTTACATAGATGACATAGGAATGTTGCTTGTTACTGATCTGTCACAAATTTTCAATGGAGAAGAAAAGCAGCATGAAACACCGACTTCCACAATGTTGAAATGCAATCAAGCTGGTGATGCAAAAAGCTTCAGATTTAAAGCTTCATTTTGCATTTTATTGAAAATATATAGTCTTAACCCCCACCCCCCCCAAAAAAAAAAACTTTCTAAAAGGAAAAGTCTCTAAAATTACTAAACAAGCCTGGTTGCCACTGCAATTTTAAATTCTCTAGCAGGTGAAAATTAAAAGCAGCTGCTTTAAACATTTCTTTTTATTCTGTCAATAAATGCATATTTCTATTCAGCAAAGATCTGTAGTAGGATGTCTCCACTAGATACCATTAGAGTAACACCAACATACAATGCATAAGAACTATAATTTAAGACTACCTGTTTCTTTCATTTCCCTTTTACATGGTCTCTCTAAGATACAATATACATTTATACATAAAACTCCAGCACTGTGCTTGGCACGTTATGCAATTCAATCTACTGTGGTAGAGAGGTGAACAAGTTTGAGAGCTCCTGCTCCCTCAGAGAATACCCTGCCAACTGCTGTCTGCTTTTCATGAAGGACATTCAGCACGGCGTGGGGAAAGATGCGATTCCTCAGGTAGGCTGGTGTTAGGGGCTTTATGCCCCCAATTAGAGGCCCAGTCCCTCCAATCTCAGTTCCAAATCGTAGAAGGTTTTAAAGTGCAGCCATATCCAGAGGATAATAGTCTAAACTTGGGCTAACAAAGACAGCAGCAGCAGGCTGCATCCTCCTACCCAAATGCATGAGACAGAAAATCAACTGGGTTAGTGCCTCATGGCCAAAAAAGATGGAGGTGCAAACCCCAGGAACAAATAGGGCATGTAGTCCTTCAACCAAAGAGCTGATGCTGCCTTTGCCATCTTCTCTAGTTGTTTCATATGACCCATCAACACCATCTTACTCTTTTTCTAGGTCCAGGATCAGAAAAAGCTCTCTCATCTATATTCTAGCCTCAACTAGACATCACCAGCACTATCTAAATCAGATGAGACAAAAAGTTGAGTGGCATTAATACTGGAAACACCATACCCAATGCCACCTTATAAACTATTTCCACAGCCTATGTTGAACAGGTGTGGTGACAGAATGGTTCTGAGAGGCACCCCACACAGCAGCTCTTTCACAAAAGGAGAAATTCTTCACAAGAACACACCAAGATATTGGAGAGAAGAAGCAAAGCCACTGAGGACCGACTCAGATCCCTCCCCCTGGGTTTGTCGGTCACTCAGCCTCACCAGCTCACAATTAGCAATAGTAGCACAGTCACATGTTCTTTATCCACTGCTAAAAAGAGACTGACCAACCTGACCGATGCACTCTGTGCTAGATCCAAGACCATATGGATACTGACAAGGGCTAAGGAGATCTGTCTCATCGCAACATTCTCCATGATCTTCGCCAAGTTTAGAAGGTGAGATTCTAGTCAGTACTGAGTTAGACTGCTCAAGACAAACATGCTCAGCCCTGAAAAAGGCCACACAACTGCTTCCTGCAATGGAACGGACAAGCCACCTTCTCTGTGAGAGGCACTCACTCTCTTCACAAGCAAGGGATCCAATACTTCTTGGCTACAACACCTGAGTGAACGAAGTCACTCAAACACAAGCATTTGCAGGATTGGGCTACAGTATACAAAAAAAAGGACGTTTAATATTAAACAAAGCACAAGCACACTAGAAAAGCACACTGCTAGCACTTGCATTTTCAAACCCTTTCATCTTCTCTGGAACAATCATGCAAGATCAACTTCTATAACTGTTGAAGATTATATGATTTATAGAAAGACCAAAGGGCATTTAAAATGCTGCAGGTGAATCTCATGTTGACCAAAGTACACAACTGATAGCACTGGCTACAGATAGTCATCTTGCAGGTACATCCAATTACAAAAGTTCCAGTCACATCTCAGCTGCAATCACATTCCTAAAGATCATGTTCTTTTATTTTTTGAAGAAGATAGGAGAAAAAGAAACTTGCTCATTATACTGACATAACTGAAGGTATGCTCAGGATTACATAGGGTTGTTTGCTCTGCAAGCCAGGATATAATTTGGACTCTGATATCATACCTGCAGAATCTCTTCACATTCCCTATTTATGAGACAAGCATTTATTAAGGGAATTATATCTCTGGCCTTGATTTCCAACATGGTGGCCTCTATACGCTTCAGCAGTCGTCTATGCATCTCCAGTTGCTCAAGTTTTTGAAAATCCCAGTTTTCAATTGCTTCTGCCAGACCAATGTAACCTTAAAAATACATGGAGAAATATGACACTAAACAAGCATAGCTTCTTATTTAAACAGATCTTTATGAACTACATATGATTTTGTAAACTTACCTGACTGGCGGTAGAAGGGGACACAGCAGCAGAGGCAGCACCAGCTGATCCCCCTAAAGTAAGTGGGGCAGAGGGAGCCAGCACAGCTGAGCTGGATCCAGAGGGGAAGCCCCCTGGATCCCTTTTAGTTGACCCAGTAGGGAGCCGCGCGCAAACAGAGTGCGCAAACAGGCGCGCTCTGTAAGGGTGTGCCGGTGTTTGCGCCAGTGTTTGCGCAGGCGGACAAGCAGCAGGGGCCAGGAGGAAGTCTTGGTAAGGGAAAGGTGAAAGCACCACACCAATAAATAAAAATGGTGTGGACGCAGAGTGCCACTAGGGCCCCTGCCCAGGGGGCGCCACCAAACCAGGGCTCCTCTGAGGCTTCCACCCAGACAGAGCCCATGGGGGGGGGGGGGCAGGGGGCTGGCAGCACCCTGTCCCCTGGCCTGCGGAGGATGCCTGGTGGGGCCAGGGGAGGGGGACAGGGAATGGGGGCCCCCACACCTGTCCCGCAGGTGTCTGTCTTAGGGCCCTGGAGGGGCAGGTGAGGGAGCTCCAGGAGGAGGTTAGCAGGCTGAGAGGGATCAGGGAAGCAGAGGATGAAATTGACGGGTGTTTCCTTTCCCTGCTGGGTGACGCACCAAAGGGAGAAGAACCCCAGGAGGTGCCCTCCACAGCAGAATGGCAGACGATTCCCTCCAGAGCCATGGCTGCTCGTGGTGGTGCAGTACCAGCTCCCCCAGTCCAGCTGGGGAACAGGTACGAGGCCCTGGCTACATTGGAGGAAAAGGAAAGTAATGAGGAAACCTCTGGTGAGGTCACTCCATGCACAGAACGGGCTGGAGGAGGCAAGCTGACCCAGAGGAAGAGACGCCGGGTACTTGTCATAGGTGACTCCATCCTGAGAGGAACAGAGGGTCCCATCTGTCACCAGGATCCCATGACATGCGAGGTCTACTGTCTCCCTGGAGCGCAGATTCAGAACGTGACGGAAATGATCCCAGCTCTCACCCGGCCCACTGATTATTACCCCATGGTCCTAATCCATGTGGGCACTAATGATGAGGCCAGGAGCAGTCCAGACTGCCTGATGGAGGACTACCAAGCGCTGGGAGATGAGCTGAAGGAGACAGGGGCACAAGTGGTCTTCTCATTGATCCTTCCAGTGAGCGGGCATGGAAGACGCCATGAGACCTGCATCTGGGATGTCAACTTGCGGCTTCAGGAATGGTCTTGCAGCGGGGCTTCAGCTTTCTGGACCATGACCCTCACTTCATAACTAGTGACATGCTCGGGTGGGATGGGCTTCACCTCCCAGGTGTTCTCTTCCAGGTTGGCTGATCTCCTCCACTGGGCTTTAAACTAGGCACGTCAGGGGACGGGGAGGAAGAGGACCAAGGGAGGCACAGAACACCAAACCAAGAGACACCCACAAGAACAGCCCAGCCAAGTCAGGCGACAAGCACAAGAAATACCCAGGTAAGAGACAGAGGCCTGAACAGTCCGGGGATTGGAGGGGGAGGCGCATACACCCTCAGGAAGCCTTAAATGCTTCTACACTAATGCTCACAGTCTGGGGAACAAGAAAAAGGAACTTGCCCTCCTGCTAGCTAACACAAACCTAGTCATAGCGGGGCTCACTAAAATGTGGTGGGATTCAACATATGACTGGGTGGTAAACATCAAGGACTATAGGTTGTACAGGCAGGATAGAACAGGGAGGAAAGTGGGGGTGTGGCGCTCTATGTCAAAGAGCAATACACATCCTCTGCAAACAGCCCTGGGTCTGAGGTAGAGCAAAGAGAGGTGCTCTAGGTCAGAATACAAGAGGGTCAGGGGGAAAGGGACCTAGTGGTGGTGGTCTACTACAGGCCACCTAACCAAGGAGAAGAGCTGGACTGGGAATTCTCAGGTCAGCTCACAGAGGCAGTCAAGTCAAGGGACATGGTCATCCTGGGTGACCCAAACTACCCAGACATCTTCTGGGAAGAACAGTCATCCAGGTCTGACTGCTCACATAGGTTCCTAGCTGAGTTACAGGACCTCCACTTAACCCAGGAGGTGCACAGCTGCACCAGGGGAAATGCCTTGTTGGACCTGGTCCTGGCCACAGGCGATGACCTGGTGAGGGGACTGTGGGTTCTCGACCACCTGGGCGATAGCGACCATCACCTACTGGAATTTATCATCCAGCGCAAGGTGTCAAGGCCTGCAGCAAGGCAGCAGCCCTGGACTTCAAGAGGATGGATTTCAATGAGGTAAGGAGACTAGTTGGGGAGGCACTGAGGTCCCAGAGGGGAGGGGAGTTGGGAGTCTAAGAAGAGTGGTCGTTCCTTAAGAAGACGAGCCTCCAAGCCCAAAGCGTGACAATCCCCACGTGGATCAGAGGGGACAAGAGTGCTCAAAAGCCCCCATGGCTCACCAAAAGCATCCATGAATGCCTCAAAGCCAAAAAGGGGGTGTACACCCAATGGAAAGGAGGGGCCATCACCAAGGAGGAGTATACCTCCTTGGCTCAAGATTGTAGGAGGGCTATAAGGAAGGCTAAGGCAGAGATGAAACTGGGACTAGCAACCCGGATCAAAGATAACAAGAAGTCCTCTTTTAAATACATAGGGGGTAAAAAGAAGGTGTCAAATAATGTGGGGCCTCTGCAGGACATGCTTGGTAATCTGGTGGTAGCACCAGAGGACAAAGCTAATCTCTTTAATAGATTCCATTTTTCTGAACAGGGACAGGGACATCCCTCCCACCAGGATCCCCAATGAACCCAGGGGAGGTGCAGCCAGGCCCAGGGTCAGTGAAGATCTAGCCAGGGAACTTCTGGTGAGTCTAGACGTGTTCAAATCAGCAGGTCCTGACGACCTCCACCCCAGAGTGCTTAGGGAACTGGCAGAGGTCATTGCAGGACCCCTGGCACAGCTTTACGAGCCTGATGACTGGAAAAGGGCCAACGTGGTCCCCATTTTCAAAAAAGGGAGGAAAGAGGACGAAGGAAACTATAGGCCCATTAGTCTTACCTTGGTCCTGGGGAAGGTCTTTGAGAAAATTATCCAGATGCACATCTGCGAGGGACCAGCAGGGGAGATCATGCTTAGGGGCAATCAACATGGGTTCATGACTAACCTTGCTTCTTTTTATGACCAGGTCACAAAATGCTTAGATGCAGGAATCGAGGTAGATGTCACCTACTTGGATTTTAAGAAGGCCTTCAATACAGTATTACATTATGCTATGATAGATAAACTGAGCAACTGCGATGTAGATGACTACATGGTTAGGTGGGTGGCAAATTGGCTTAGGGGTTGCACCTAAAGAGTGGTGGCAGATGGATCAGTATCCACCAGGAAAGATGTGAGTAGCGGAGTCCCACAAGGCTCGGCCCTTGGACTGGTGCTGTTTAATGTCTTCATCAGGGACTTGGATGAGGGTATAGAAATTCAAAACTCATTGATGATACCAAATTATGGGGTAAAGTTAACACACTAGAGGGCAGGGAACAAATCCAGGTGGATCTGGACAGGTTGGAAAAGTGGGTGGAACAGAATAGGATGCAGTTTAATAAGAACAAATGCAAAGAGCTGCACCTAGGAAGGAATCACCAGCACGCTTACAGGCTGGGGGAGGACCTTCTCAGCAGCACAGCAGTGGAAAGGGATCTTGGAGTCACTGTTGACTCCAAGATGAACATAAGTCATCAATGTGACAAAGTGATCAGTAAAGATAACTGCACTTTATCATGTATTAGTAGGTGCATGACAAACAGGTCCAAGGAAGTGATGCTTCCCCTTTAACTGGTCAGGCTGCAGTTGGAGTACTGCATCCAGTTTTGGGTGCCACACTTCAGGAGGGATGTGGACAACCTTTAGAGGATTCAGAGGAGGGTCACTCATATGGTTGGGGGCCTGTGGACAAAGTCCTACAAGGAGAGATTGAGGACCCTGGATCTCTTCAGCCTCCACAGGTTGAGAGGGGATCTTGTGGCTGCCTACAAATTCATCAATGTGGGGCAGCAAGGAAAAGGAGATGCTCTGTTTACCACAGCACCCCTTGGAGTCACTAGGAACAATGACCACAAAGTGACAGAGAGCAGATTTAGGTTAGACATCAGAAATAACTTCTTTACGATAAGGGTTGCCAAAATCTGGAATGAGCTACCAAGGGAGGTGGTGCTCTCCCCTACCTTGGGGGTCTTTAAGAGGAGGCTAGACAGGCTATGGTCATCTGACCCCAACGCTCATTCCGGCCCAGGACAGGGGGTCAGACTCAATGATCTACTGAGGTCCCTTCCAACCCTAGCATCTATGAATCTATAACCTGTTTTAGTGCTTTATTACCCTTCTCATAAGAAAGTTTTTTCCTACCATCTAACCTAAACTTCCTTTGCTGCAACTTGAGACTCTTACTCCTTGTTCTGTCATCTGCCACCACTGAGAACAGTCTAGCTCCATTCTCTTTCGAACCACCCATCAGGTAGCTGATGGCTGCTATTAAATCCCCTCTTAGTCTTCTCTCCTCCAGACTAAATAAGCCCAATTCCCTCAGCCTCTCCAGCCTCTCCTCTTAGTCATGTGCTCCACGTCCCTAACTATTTTTGGTGTTCTCTGCTGTACTCTCTCCAATTTATTCACATCCTTTCTACTGTGGGGGGACTAAAATGGGACACAGTACTCCAGATGTGGCCTCACAGGTGCCAAATACAGGGGAAGAATCGCTTCTCTGGATCTGCTGGCAAAGCTCCTACTAATGCAGCCCAGTATGCCATTAACCTTCTTGGCAACAAGGGCACGCAGTCGGCTCATATTCAGCTTATTGTCCACTGTAACCCCTAGGTCTTTTTCGGCAGAGCTGTTGCTTAGCTAGTCTGTCCCTAACCAGTACCAGCGCATGAGATTGTTCTGGCCCACGTCCATGACTTTGTACTTGTCCTTATTGAACCTCATTAGATTTCTCTCAGTCCAATCCTCCAATTTGTCAAGGTCTCTCTGAATCCTGGCCCCACCCTCCAGTGTATCTACCATTTGGTGCCATCTGCAAACTTGTTAAGGGTGCACTTGTTAAAGGGCGTGGGGGGGGTGTGCAGATTGAGGATCCCATGGTGAGGGAGGGAGTGGGGCTGGGGCAGGGGCAGAAACAGGTGATGCCCAACCCGGGAAGGGCAGGCCACAGGATGGAAATATGAGTGGTTTGTCCAGGGGGTGGTTCCTACCAGTGTGTGCACCCCCAGGGAAGCATTTGCCCCTGGATTTGTGTGTGGGGTGAGGGTGGGCTGCCACTGCAGTCTGGGGCTAGAAGCAGTGCCAGGCTCTTCTTGACAGGGCGGTTGGGCTGGGGTTGCACACAGGGCAGGCAGCAGCAGTGCTAGGAGGAGGGACTATGGGGGGGCTACAGCCACCCCAAAATTCATCATAGCTTTCCCATAGCAACCCCTCCCAGTGCCGCAACTGTCTGCCCCAAGTGCAGCCCTGGCCCAACCCCCTGCTGGGAAGAACCCAGCACCACCCCTGGCCCCGGCCGACAGAGACAGCCTGCCCCGCACATGGATCCAGGGGGCACATGCCCCCACCCCCTTAGCCTTTCCAAGGACAGAAATTGATAAAGGCATAGAGACTTGAGCCCAAGAGTGGCAGAGACTGATAAAGACATAAGAAGTTTGAACAGATTAGAGTAGAGACTGGGGCTAAATCCCCACTGATGAGTAAATCAGTAATACCTTCAAGGCAGGGGCATGGCTGTAGAAAAGGTCAGAGGCCATGAATAGCCATTAAGGCAATCAGAGCACTGGAAGGCAAGAACAGCCAGGAGGGCTAGAATTAGCCTGAGGGTGGAACAGAGGTAGGTGGAGGTTGCCAGGAACCAGCAGACTTGAGAAAGACAAGGGCTCATTCTGGGCCCCTAAGGGAGCCTCCCTTTTTCCTAAATAAAATATTAACAGCAAGGAATGGCAGGTGAGAGCAAAGGAGGGGAGGGTACCTGGAGAGCCAGAACTGAGCAGGACTCATGAGGCCACCAGGTGGTATTGCAGCAGCCCCCAAGTCTTGGTCCTGCTACAGCAGGTTTTACATACTGCTTTCTAGCAGAAGTCTGGTCTGTGAAAATGTATAACAATTCGGTGGTGTATCTGAACATTTAAAGGCTATTTAAAACATAACTTTTTCAAGGCAGAGTCCTGTTCCTTTGTTAGTACAAACTCACCTATTGTACAGCCCTGGACATACACTCAAACCTAGAGAAATAAAGTAATATAAAGTTGATAAAAACAGGAGAAAGATTATAATTAAATGATTTAACCCATAAAAAGTGACATGCATTAAACTTTATAGATGTCTATAAAAAAAAAAAAAAGAGAGAGAAATGAGAGACTAACATGGCTCCTCATGTTTATAGGGCCTCAGTGCTCCAAAAACAAGTTTTCTTGGTTGGTGAGGAGACCTGTGGTCAATTCTAGAACCTCTGTCTTGGGTCTGAAAAGTAAAGTTGAAGTGTTTCTGTTTGGAACACCGTAATACTTTAACAGTTATGTGGGTGACACTCAACCTGCTTTTACACTTATGTAACTACCATCTTGGCACTGCCTGCTAACTAGCTTGCAGTCTCAGCAGAGACTAAGAGACTAGGGATTAAATTGGCAAGAGCTGAAGCAGATAGTGCTATCCTCTTAAGCGTTGTCAAGCTTTGATGTCCTTCCACCAAAACAGGATGCTACTCAAGGTAGATTCTGAAAAGCCTTGCATCTTCTTTTTTTCCATTGCATCGCATCGCAAAAAAAAAAAAAAAAAAAAAA